CCACTCGCCGTCGACTCGCAGCCAGCTGGCCCAGGAACATTGAGTCTGCCTCACATAAGACTATACACTAGGACTCCGGCCTGGTAACACCACGGCCTCCACACTCTAAATTTCAGCTTAAATACTCCACATAAGGATGTCCCCTTATATAAGGGACGAGAGGTATCCTGGCACTTACTTGTTCCCGACTTTTTCCCGTCCCAGGAGCTAAATCCAGGTTCAGCGCACTGAACAGGCTGTCGTCCGCGCGCCAACGCGCCGCCATGCGGATGTGGCGTGCCAAAACCTCCGGACCGATCGTCCACGGCCAGAAGTCCGACCGGCTGTGGCTGGGATGTGGGAGCTGAGTGGGTGAACCAATCTATATACAGTGGATGATGACGGTCAGTTTGGCCGGAATCTCAGGTCGATTGTCGACATCTCTTCCGACTGTTACTGGCAATGTGCACCCTAAGTCCCAGGTATCTGATATCTCAGGTATCGGATGTGACTCTTTTCCTGAAAAGGCTTCCCAGAGCTGACTTCCTTCGAAGATGCCCCAAAAAACCCAGACAGGATCACCAAGCATGAAAAGTTTCATCCCCAGCTGTGGGAGCTACGGACTTTTTGGTGCCCCACCCACTTGCGCCCATGGAAACGTCGCAAAAATCCTGCATTCCAACTCTTCACGTACACTCCCCCGCAACAAAAAAGAAGACACTCAGCCCACCAGACAGACTCAAGTAACACCGTCTCAGGCGAGCCTTGGCTCGAATCAACCCGACTCAAGTAACACCGTCTCGCCCAATCGGAGCCCAATCGATGAGACTCCTGCCTGCTGCACATCAATATTCTGAAACAATGATAGCCCAAGCTTTCGTCGCCTCACAGTGGACCTGTGAGTGGTCCGGACGAACGTGCAGAGAAGGCTGGGCCGCGAAAGAACCGAAGCTGCACCAGAAGAGAAGGGCTTTCATAAGGTATACATCTGTACGGTAATAGTCGCCAAAAACGCTGGTGGTGGTCTACTTCTGTTGAGCCATGCCCAAAATCATGAAAAATAGGCCAACTATGGGTTTTGTCTGATGAACAGCCGCCTGTCAGCGCCATCAGCGGCACCCACGGACGGCGTTGGGTCCTGGGAACGGCGATGGTCGGTGACGGGGGAAAGCCAAATGGAATGGATCTTGAAGCTGCGTTTTCAGAGCAGGAGAGCCAATCCGGATCCCATGGAACTATGTTACTGTTACTTTTGCTTCTAATGGAAAGCGTGAATGTTCATCATCATACTGCAGGGCGTGATTTCTCCACCACCACCAACAACAACGATAACAACAGCGTCATCACTTCGTGACCAACCTTAGCCTTATTAGTCATCAGCGCCAGTTCAAACCCTCTACTGTGTTCCCCAGTTCCCCGCCCCTCCAGAAGGTCAGCCATGGCTATCTGTCTGGCAGCCCGAAAGTGAAGGACAAGTTGCCTGCTTCTATGCTTTGGGTCAAAAGCAAAGGGCAGCCACACCGCTAAAAAAGGAACACAGCAATCTCCTTGTGCGACAGACCCTCTCCACAGAGTTCCAGCAATGCTCAAGTGCTTCCTGCAGAACCCCACGGCCTTCCATAAGTGAATCGAGTTGGCACGTGAGCGGCCATTGTTGATGGCTAATCGCAGCCCTGTGGTGGAACGAACCAAAAAATAACGAAACGTCCAACTTCAATAGCTTACAACCAACAGTTTTCTTTCAACAACAAATCTGCCAACCTTCCACATCCTCCTAAAAAACCCAGCACCCACAGGGCCAGGGCAGCTCATCACTATCCACGTGAAGAAGCCAGTCCATACCCAGCCTGAGCGGTCACAGCTCATCGCTCTGCAGCTCGTCCCCCGCCGCCGTGGGCTCAGCTCTCTCACTCACGTGTTCGACCAAGCTGCTCTCGAGCATGCAACAGGGCGTGTTCATTGTTGAGGATTTGCCGGGACTGAACCTTGCATGAGCGAACCAACTGGAGCCTCAAGTGGGGAAAGGAGGAAGAACTTCTCTGTCATGCCGGGTGCTTCATGGTTCTGTCAGACCTGGTTGGGCCAACCAAGTCGGGCAACAGGAGACCAATTGAACATTCATCAACTGCTCAATGCTGATCCAATCCCGTGACACCCTGTCTGCAAAAATTCCAAAAATGAGGACCCAGCTTCCTGGACCCCTACAGGAGGCACAAGAAGTTCCACAATGTATCTCGCAAAGCCTTGAACCTTTTCCCTGCTTGTTGGTCAAAGCCGCACCTCCATGGTGGCATACTGCCCGACCCTTCCTTGGCATCACTGAAAGCTCAAGAAAAAGCAGGTCAAGTCGAAATGAATCCCGTGACGCATATATAAATATGCATGTCATGTAATGTAAAGTAATGTAATGGTATGGTATGGTATGACTAATGGTATGGTCTGCGTGTATGGTCTGGTACAAACCGACGTACTTACTTACGTATGTGTGCGAACTCTTCAGTGCTGGGCGTGCATCCGGTGTGCCCGCCCCGCGCCCGGGCCCCCGCACGCCATGAGGGCATGGAAGGCCACTGGGCCTTCAAAGCATCGTCCACCGGAAGAAGCTCTACAAAGCCTCGTTCGACCTCAGCCACCGTCGAATGGGAGTCAGGCTGTAGGTACTCTCTCTCTCTCTCTCATCATGATTCTTGGTAGGTGCAGGGCATCTTGGTGCGGCATGCTGTCAACCCGTGTCCAAAGCGCTAGGATGATCAAGTGGAAGGACCAAGGTGGACGTCAAGATCGCACATGTTCCTACTTGATCTGCTTGTAAGATTGGAGACTCCCCCCGCATATTGGGTACCCATGGCAATTGCGCAGGCCCGCCCCAGCAAAGCCACAAAGTCAAGGTCCCGACCCAGCCACTCTTCTGCAAAACGTCTGCTGCAGAATCACCCGGGTCATCCAGGTAGAGCCTAAGAGACCGGCAAACCTGCTGCACAGCTGACATTGGCTGACATAGCTTGACACATCTTAGACTTCTCATGGGTAACTGCTTGGCAGCACTTACCCTAGTGACCGACCATTGAGGGCCACACAGCACTCGATCAAATCCTAAGGCAGCGTAGTGCCGCACGAAGCTTTCGATCACCTTGGTGAGAGGCAAGGTGAGCAGCATCCCAAGTCGATCAAAGACCGGTGAATTTCAGACAACAGGTGTGGTCCTCAAGCATTGGTGTCCTCACATCTGTTGCCCTTCAGACACCCAGGGGTTCAGAACCCCCAAAATTCGGTGCATCTTTCTGGGGCCCCCCCGCATTGGCACAGTCGCGGATCTGTGAGAAGAGTGCCACCTTACTCCGCGGGGCACTGTCCTCGCCTTGACTGGCACCATAAGCCCATCCCAGAAAAAGAACGGTCAAACGGAGGTCCTGTTTGTCATCATCCCAACCCAGCAGAAATTGTTTCTGGAGCAGCCAGCACCTCTATGTTTACGTGGCCAAAAAACATGTCCTGGGGCTCTATGCCGGACTCCATGCCTTGTAGCCAGATTAAATGTGTACTGGTCAAGGATGCTACTTGCTCGGAAGTACTTGCTTGGAAGTCATTGAGCCTTCCGAGCAAGCTTCTTTAAGGATGCCTTCTCTTGAAGGAGGAGCACCAGGACTCAATGGGACTCCGCGGGACTTACTCCGGGTCCACCGACACGCGCAGTGGTTGCCACATCGGCCTTGCATGCTCGGTGGTGGCCGCATAAAGGGGTATCCCATGACAAGAAGCTCCAAACACAGAAATGGACAGAACTTGCTTTATGTTCAGGGTAAGGTCAGGTCATGGTTGTTCTTGTTTAGGCATGAAAGACTGTGGGGAATGATCAAGTGATTCGATGCGCTTTGATTCTTCCCCAGGCCCGGCCCACGTACACCTGTCCGACAGCCTCATCCCAGTCAGGGCTGTCCAAGACTCCGGTCATGGATCAAACGAGAAGTCGGAAGGATGTGGTGTCTGAGATGGTCGGCTCGGGAGGGCAACTCCGAAAAACCACGGAAAGCCCACAAGAATCCATGTGACATGACCAACGGCCAAGTGCCGGACCATGCGAAAGATGAGCCGCAGGAGATGAGAAAATCTGTGCCCCCTACCCAAAAGTCAGTGGAGTTCTTGTTGTTCGGTGTATGCAAGGGGCGAAGACGCGTCAACCGTTCTGGCGCGTAACATGGAAAACATTGGTCCCGGAGTCCTGGAGACCATTTTGACTTCTCTCCAGGGGCGTTGTTCGAGATCAAGCGCGCGGGGTCATGCACCAATGAGAAGCAGACTGGTACTTGATCCATCTTGATTCTTTGTTCTACGTCATGGCTGTTTCATTGTGTCTGATTGTGTCTTGTGGCAGCTTGACTATATAAGCATCAGCTTGATCCATCGGCCAAACAAACCACGACCCCAGTGCATTTTGGTATGAGGTGTCCTTTTCCGAGTGTTCCACAGGCTGACCGGCTGACCGAACCTTGACATACCCCAGTCTTGAGTCGGGACCCCCGAGTCAAACACTGATAGGCTGTGGGAGAAAGGACTCCGAGGGGCACCTGTCAGGCATTCAACAGCGACGATTCGGCACACGGCCGTCACGGGCTCCGTGGCTCCAGCGCCGTGATCGGAGGCCGTGAGCTTTGGGGCGCCGAGACGAAAAGGGAAACAGAAAGGCTTCTTGTTACTACTAGTAAGGCACTTGTTCCTAGTAGCGTGGCACTTGTTTCTACTAGCTTCTTGTTCCTACTAGTAAGGCACTTGTTACTAGAAGCGATGCACTTGTTACTGCAAAAAACCAAGCAAGCCGCAAGCGAAGAGCTTTTTTGGGGCTCGCTCCGCAGGATGTAACTCTCCCTGGGCACACGCCAGGCATCCAAGTAGCGCTGTAAAAGTTTCAGCCTCTCGAGCAGCGGCACGTCCAGGTCACTCCATTGCCTTAGAAGCTTTTTCTGGAAATATTCCACCCGACCATGTTTTAAATGGTCCTTGGGCGGTCTGAAGAGGAAGTTCCTTCACCTTGGTGCCACAAATAGGAGTTGGACTTCACAAGGGTGGAGGATTTAATCACAGAGGGGGTCTCAAAGACTACAGGCGAAATGAGGGCCGTCAAAGAGACTCAATAGAAGTGCTCCTGGGAGAGAAAAATAGAGAACATGCATCAAGCTATCCCACATGTAGCAAGTAGCTCACGCACTTCCACCATGCCCACGACCCCAAACGAAAAGAAGCTGCCTTCCACCAAGCAGCCGGTAGTCGTAGAGGAACTTCTCTTTGTAAAGGATCTCCAATGGGTCCACCCAGCGCATAGGATGACAGAAGAAGAGCCCATACCAAACCTCCAATGGGCTGCGGCCCTGCAGCCACCCGGGTGCTTCCACCACATCTTGTGCAAAGGTGGCGTCATGGTAGTTGAAGTAAACCTGGCCACGGCCCGGCCGGCCGGCTCAAGCTTACATCTAGAATCTATGCCTATGCCGTGTTCCTACCAGAAATTTGATGAAACGCCCCCACAACATGGGAACTCGACTTGAGACTTTCGGAAAGCTCAACTACAACCCCAGCCTGCGCCCGGACCAATTCTACTGCGACTAATCCACCAGGCCCTGACATCTGACGCCACCAAACTGGTCAACTAAGGGCTGCCAGCCCTGTGAGGATCACAGTGTCCCTCCGATGTCTGGTCCCAAGAACCTCCAACTCTTCAAACAGCCCATCTGGAGGCCTTGGGCAGGAATGTGTGCCCCACCCTTCCATCCAAGTGGCCAACTGATAGCCTAACGGCTCCAGCAGCTCCACAAACGCTGAGAGCGAGCAGTGCCGCATGTGCCCTCTACGTCCCTCCGAGGCATCTGGGCACGACGCACTGGTTGGTGCGAGAGCGGAGAGGGGGGGTGCGGCGATGCGCTCCCCAAAGCTCCCCAAAGACCCTCACAACGGTCCCATGGAAGGTCGTTGTCCTTCACCAACCAGTGGCTCTTGGGGTTGTTCTCGTGAATCTGCATGGGAGTTTAGTCATAGTTCTTCTTTGCCACACCGTGACCCAAAGAGATCCCAATATTCCAAGTATCAATGTACCGTGGCAAGCCACGTGTTTGCCTTGCGACGGAAAAAAGGGCTGCTCTCGGCTCTCTGACTCGCTGCGTGAGGGGGAGCAGCGAGTCACATTTCCGTGGCTTCTAGGCCAAGCTTGCCCACACCCCGGGCCCCTTTCCTGGAAGATAAGCACCAGGAAGGGTCATACCCTCTGATCCAGAAAGAATGCGTGCCCAATGAGTCGGTTTCCCTACAACAATTTTTGAATGCATGAACATGACGCTATCAAGTGGAGTGCACCTCAAGGCCATTGGCAAAGTTTGAATCACACTTGTCACACCCATCCCTTACTCCATACCTGAATCAATACCTGCGAGCATGGTCCAAGAGTCTATATAGCTGGTCAACCCGATGGCTTTTCGAAGACTTCGAGCGCGAACCGCAGTTCCGCATGAGAATCCGCTCCGCGGCGGGATGTTCTCCACCTGAAAACCAGCGGTGCCAAGTCTCTGAGGGCTTCCATGGAATCGAAGATCGTCCCATCAAAGGCCACGGGTCTGTCAACACACGTGACACAGGTGGGGGCTCGGGTCCAACACAGGTCAGCATTGACTTGGAGCTGCCTGGAGCTCCTCACGGCTCCCTGGAGCTCCTTCTCATAGATCGACACCCCTGGCTCCGAACCTCACCTCCTACCTCAGCAAGCTGCTATGCCCAGGCATCCACATGCCCAGCCGTGGGGGCTCGCGGCTTTTTTGGGTGAACAATCCAGAGGTCCGTGATCCCCGTCTCTTCTTTCAGTGTGAAGCTGCGCGAACAAACGCATCAACCGTCGATAACGTCAACCGAGACGTGTCCTTCACACACGAAGTGATAGAAGGACTCCCCCGTGATCACCGCGCCTGTAGACGAAGGGCGGCGGCACCAGTGGGCTAACCTCCACATGGATGAGCAGGGGCTTGAGCCCGGTCTCCAGGATCGTCTCCAGGAAGCAGCAGTCGCAGTTGTCCACATCCACCTCAGCGACAAAGATGAGTCCAGCAGTCCAGCAACCATTAAAAGGCGGGGGCCGCCAGGCCACACCTACATCCCAAAGACCCCGAAGCCGAGAAAAATCGATTCGCGGGGTCCTCTCTTAGGTCCGATTCTCGGCACCCCAATGATTAAAGAGGTTCTGGATGTATCACAATGGCCCCCACTACTCACCCTACAAAGAAAGAGACCATGAAAAACGGATGGATCACCCGATCTCGATGGAAATTCCACTCACACTATAACTCCACCCGCGCCTTGAGCAGTTGAGGTGAGCTCTGCCTCTCTGCCAAAGCTCGTCGAAGGATGGAGGCGACGGTCTCCGGATCGATAAAGCCCAGGTGCAGCTCCAGATCCTCGAACTGAGAGGATCAAGGGTGCGCCAGAGGCGCTCAAAAGGAGGGTGAGGCCTGGCCCAAGGAAGGTGGGGGGGGATGAAACAAAAGCGTGGCATGATGATGCAACTTCAACTACAGTATGTATTTTACTGTATGCTAGTGTTTAAATCAAATCTTGTTTTGGTACATCATCTATCACATGTAGCCGGGGGCACGCCTTGGTGCCCGTCTCCTGGCGAATCTGTCCCAGTCAAAAGTTGCTCATCTCAGAAGAGGATGTGCTGCAAAACGGTCTGCTCATCTGCCGAGCCGAGCTTCACTTCGACCCAGGGTCAGGTTGCGCAGTAAGGCTTCGTGCCTGTCATCCCCTTCGAAGAGAAAACCTCCAAATCCTCAAATCGCAAGGATCATTCGGGCTTGACGTGCTGGAATCCAAGGCAATAAGGAACCCACTGAGCTTCTGCAAGCTAGCTGGCTTTTCCACCGCCAGCTAGCGCTTTCACTTCGGCAGATGTATTTGTGTGTGCTTGGCCTACCCATGAATGAACGAGTCTGAATGGGGATCTGTATGTTGGAAACGTCCCTCAATAAGTGAAGATGTAAAAAAGAATGCAAAAGGAAGACTAGTGACTAGCAAAGCGTACGTCTCCCGCTCCCGTTTGAACATGCGTTTCTTTTTCTACATGTAAAGATCGTGTCAGTTATTTCCTTCTCCAGTTGGCTTCACTCTGCAACCCTCCAGTTTGAAGCCAGAAACTCGTTTCTTCTGTCCGACCATATCGATGTTTTACACCACCCGGCGGTACGTCCTCTTCGTCCCTCCACCCGGAGCGCGCAACGGCGAAACGGCGAAACGGACAGGCGTCCATCCCGCAAGAGGCAGTTGGCCACGTCGTTGGAGCCCAGAAAGCTCCGCTCCAAGTTATCCTGTCGCGGGATGTCCTGATCGCAAGAGCCATCGCCTGCGCCCAGGTTCACCAGCCAGGAGTCTCTCCATTCCTGGGATGGGGCGTCAAGATGAGAAGGAGCTGCTCAAGAGGCGGACCAAATGGATTCTAGTGCGGTCAATGTACCTCAGAAATCTGCACAGTTTTGCGATGAGTCCTTTTCCCTCTTGGCCTATCCAGCCAGGAGTCTGAAGGCACATTGTTTGGAATTCTGGGCGGCTCAAAGGATGCATACCACTTCAGCAGGTGTGGCCGTCGGCAGAGCCCAAAGGTATGCAGATCGGGGGCCACCCACCTGACCGTCAAATCAGTCACCCACGAAGCCCATGTAGGGAGTACCCCCAAAAGAAGGCCTGGCCTGGCTCATGGGACCATGTTGATCACAATGTCACTGTCTACTGAGTCTGCTGACCTTTTCCTGTGGGTAAGGCATCCGGTGGTTTTCACCGATTTCTGTCAATGTTTGACGGGCGAGGGCCTTGAACCTTCCCAGGCTTGCAAGCTTCCAAGTTGACATACCTTGCTAGCACCCTTCCAGCAGGTGACGTTCCCTTCCAGGCCTTGGAATCCAGAAGGCGGTCAAGTGTGGATGTTGCTGCAGGCTGTCCCCAGCAAAGAGCTCCCCAACATAAGTGCCAAAAAGGTTGGAGGCCGGCATCAACGCCTCCCATATTGAGTGCAACTTTAAAAAAGAATCTGAATGGGCACCGAGCAGACAGCGTTTCCCAGAAGGTCCGGACTGAAACGATCAGAAGCCCCCTCAGAAGCCCCCTCCACCTGTAACATCCAATGTGGTCAGTAACTTGATGACGAAGTCATATGCTCTCCTATCCCATCTGCCCCTGCTCGGCACTGGAAAGGCTTGGACCCCCATGGCACACCCCTTCGCTCCGATCCGCTCTTGCCGGCCTGGCGCCGCAGGATGTCGTGCGCCTGGAAATTGGACAAGTCATCCGTCTCATAGCCTCGGTTGGAACATCCCAACTGATCACCCCCCGGCGTATGGGAGGCAGGGAGGAAATGGAAGCATCATTCTGAACCCTCCAACCCGGGCCGCCACCTGGTCAGGAATGCTAGGCGACATCTCCCCTCATTCAAGATCCGGCCTGTGGCGGCCCGCACCTGGCGCCAAAACCTGTTCGCCAGCACCTGCTTGCGATTGAGATGGCATTTACTGCAGTGCTGTCGGCCTCCACATCCGTTCGACCGCCATGGCCAATGGGCAAATAGATACATCAGCCGTCAGCCCTTAAACCCTTAGAAAGCCCCGAAAGAACTCCGGGAAAAAGACACTACCTGAAGCCACAGTCGAGGTGCAGGGATGCTTGAGTTGAATCAAGGCCTCTTGACTGATGATAAGCTCTTTGCCAAGTTGACCTGCCGCGTCCCCCAGGTAGGCCTTGGAGCTCGAAGAAGGAAAAGAATCCCTCAGCCATGGGTATGAGTAGCTACATTCTACACATACTGTATTGCAGTATCTGTCTTCAGATGTGGACCATGAAAGTGAACTTAGACTGTAGGGGCCAGAGCACAGGTGAAATGCAGAAGAACATGGAAAAACACCGACAACATCAAGACTGCACCCAGCAGCACTGCTACAATCTCAAGAATGTCAAGGATTTGGAGTCCGCTCAGTTCATGCAAAGGCGCACTTACAATATCGACCCCCTGGCCCTGGCTGGGTAGACTGGTCTATTTCCCGAACCTTCCAGACAAGGGCAGGAGGGTTGGTCTCCTTATTTGAGCTACACACCCCTTCAGCTCCATGTAGACACTGGCAGGTCAATCACAAATCCAAGCCACATCCAAGGCAAAGACCCTTTCCGCTTCCTGACCGTGGAGACTGTCCGCTGCAGAGGGTCCGCTATGGAGAGATGCATCGTGAGTGGGTGGTCTGAGCATGCTCAGGTTCGTTGCGATTAGAGGAATCTACACCCGTTCGGATGGTGTAAAGACAAAAGTAAAGCAAACGAGCCTAAGAAAAAGTGCTTCCATCGAAAGAAATGACCCAACTCAACCTACCTCTTTTTGCCAACGCCCCTCCCCGCGTGCAACTTCAAAAGAAGACCTATCAAGACCCAGAATACCTTTCTGGTACCCAAATTTGGTTCTAAAAAGGGAAGGACCTCCAAGAACTCTTGGACTCTTGCGATTTCTTTCAGAAGACCTGTGCTTCTGACCCGGAATTCCATGGGCAGAGCATCTGCCAGCGCTTCAGCGCGCCCAACCGGTTCGAACCTCTCGAAAGGCCAGGCAGACCGGCAGGACCGTGGCAGCCTCCTGGCGCGTGCCTTGAGGGTAGCAGCCACGGAAGGCCGCAAAGCACTCCTCGGCGTGGTCCAACTCGTTCGGTGGATGGGTCCGGGGCAGGGGCTCCTCCGGTCCGCATGGAGCTGTGAATCCTTGTCTGTGGGGGGGTGGCCGGGTCTACTGTAGGGTGCTCAATGGAGATGGAACAGATGTAGCAGGACAGTCGTCTAAACGAAAGGCCTGGCTCCATGGAGATGTGTGGACATCTCCATGGAGCTTTTGCATTCCGGGCATTCCGATCATCCATCTTGCCCACTGCAAGACCATCCAGAGCACAGCACTCGATGTCATATGACCTCACCTTGATCCTTTTGTGCTTCACCCTGGAGTTTTCACAAAAAAAATAACCCCCAAGCGCACCAGGTGTCAAGCTGTGCCATGGTCTCAAAGAGAGCTCCATAGGCTTCCCACCGCTTCGGAGCGTAGTAGCGTGTGGCCACCAGCCACAACATCTTCGTGGCGCGAGCTGCATCCTGAGACATGGAGGGACTATTCCGCGTCGCGTCACAGCTGTCGGTCCAACATGCACCCAATCAGAGGGTTCACAAGACTTTGGCCCTGAAAAGGGGCCTCAATCTCTGAGAGTCCGGTGTTGAGAGGGGTCACACCAGCCCTCTCACCCCAGATAGCAAGGAAACAGCAGCATCGGCAGAGACCGCTGGCTGACGGCAAAGAATACGATAAAATCGCCTCAAATACATCTCTCTCCTGCCGTAGCTTGTGGGCATTACTTTAATAGTAGTCGATTTCGACCAGGTCTTTGAGGCCCTTGCTTGTGTCCCTGCTGCACCTGCCCTCCAGTCGAGGAGCTTGCAGCTGCTGGGCAAAGCTCTGTCTGGACTCCTCCAGTGAACATTGCCATCCTTCAGCATGAGAAGATTCAAGGTTGAGCTCATCTGCATCCTCAGGTCGTCTCTTACTTTTTCATGAGTCAAGCCTAACCCAAGTGTCCATTCCATTCCGATGATGACTTCCACTGAGGTTTGCTGAGCTATTTGAGGGTTCCATTTTCTTGGCATCACATCGCTACTTCCTTGACTTGACACACACGCACCCACAGAAATGCCGTCGAGTGGCATCCAGCATGTACGGGGGGGCAAAGCGACCGGAAGGGCAGAATGGGCATGGCCCCTGCCAGAGGAACCAGCGCCGCCCAGGACATGGTGGTTCGGCATCTCCAGGAACAGTCCAACTGGAGCCACTGCAAAATCCAAGTCTTAGAGACACCTTCGGCAGGGGATGTAAGGGAATGAAAGGTGCAACGCCTTCCATCTCAGACAGCTGCATTCGACCCTTTTCTCTATCTTCACCTCAGACAGCTGTAGCTAAACCTCACTTATTTCAAACAAATCAGGCCAGCTTCGCAAGTCTGCCCTCTCCGGCAAAGACATTACAAATGGCCGGGGGCATGGGCTACTCTGTACAGAAACAGCTGGCCGTCAGACTGTAAAATCTAAAAGGCTCGCGTGGTCGTAGCGGTAGTCCTCGTCCTTCGGTATGCAAGACTGACACGACTGACAAGGGACAAGCGGTGAGACCAAAGTGATGTCCGCACTAAAACCTCAAAAAGTCCACCAAGGTGTTGGAAAAAGACGCCTGTGAACATCGGGAATGAAGCTGACGTGACCGTGAAACGATCTATTTCGAGCAGGGCGACCTCTAACAACTTCCACTTCTTCCACGAGCAGTTTCGACTCACACGACGCCGAGCGTCTGGGACCACTTCCACCTGCTGCGACTGGACACGAGGGAGGTTCACATAGGCGTGTGTCCCATAGCCAGGTAAGGAAACCAAATCTAGGGCTCCACCCAAGTAGCGAGCGTACAGCCTTGATAGTGGCAGGCCTGGCCGAGCAAAAAAGAACACAAAAAGACACACCTCAAATGGTCCGAGGACAGTTGTAGAACATGTGCTGTCCGAGGACAAGCCCAGTGTCTGCTTCAGCGGTTTCAGAGCATGGATTGGAGAACCCATTAGAACGTGCGACAAGAATCGCAAAGAATATATACGCGCAACGCTTCAAAACACGATGGTTCTTCTTCGAAGGGGGGTGCTGGACATGCCACATCCATGACAGAATTGGAATGGCATACCAAGTTGAGTCAAGGGAGCTTTCTGGTTTTCAGAGTCGGCGTAGGCCGGAACCCGGTCGCACAACCGCATTTTGCGGCCTACGCTATGTCCAGCCAATCGTTTCTCTCCACCATACGCTCCGTTTTTGGCCTGAGATGAGTGATGGCGTGGAGTGATGGAAAGAACACCTTCCCGCTTCGGGATAAGGGGTTCCAATATGTTCCAATGATATATACATCAAAAAGGAAAAACATAAACACAAACATACTCCGATAAAAGACTCCCAATCAGGCAGAAAAACGCAAACCTCAACACGAGAATCATCGGAGTGCAGACCAGCAACTGTGGTGTATAAATATGACCATGCATTCACTCCTCGCGGAATCCCTCGTGCGCGATCGGACACACAGATCGTGACGTGGTCCTCGTCGGCACACACAATCACGTTGATCGGAACATCCTCCACTTGTAAGTCAGTGGTGGCACTCAACATGTCCGCGGTGGCCCTGCAGCTGTTCTTTAACAGCTCCATCACCACATATTTCAACACGTGAGGCATATAAGGAAATCTGGGCGTGTTTCCATCATCCAGCCCTTCGCCACAGGCAGAATAGGCCTCCACAAAGACGGCGGGGCTCCAGCCGGTGCATTCGATACACATCTCAAGCACCGCCTGCCAGGCGGCCAACCCATCCAAAGCAACCGGAAGCAACCCTAGGAGCTCTAATCGATCAAGAGTGCTTTTTGGAGCTCTGTTCCTTCCCCCGGACTTCGTCACAAGAGGCGAAGGAGGCCCAGGGAACTTCCTGTCAGCACTGTGTTCCAGCACTGAAGGACGGTACGCCCGAAAGGACGGGGGTGATGTGGTTCCCTCAGCATATCATAGCATATCCATGTCCTATTTCGCAGCAGGAAGGTCTTCCCCAAAGCATGGATGACACTCAGTCACGCAACGAACTTTGGCCATGCTGTGCTGCTCGAGTTTGCACATCATGCATGGCGCGGCGGCGTTGGTTCTGCTCATCCCGAAAACCCATTCCGGGCAGCCCCTCAGTCGCCTTGGCAGCGGCTCTGCAAACCTTCTTGGTGTTGCAGCGTGGGTCAATGATCCCATGCCTTGGCGGGCGCCACTTGCGCCCGTTCTGCCGCGGCCGCCTTTTCACCCTGCTTGGTGGGGCTTTCTTCACGAAGAATTCTAAGCTCTCCAAAAGCTCCAGACTTGCGGAATCACGGTTTACGGGAAAAGCCATTGGATAGCTTACTGCCTGCCTGCTGTCTATTCCGCGATCGGTGCCTGCGGACCCTCACCCGCCAAGGTGCTCCTGCCCTGCTCGGCAAGCTAAGAAATGGCTCAGCAGGACTTGGCAGCCGATGCGATTCAGCAGAAAATCGTCCAGGAACTTGTTCTTGCAGTGCGGGGTTCGATCGGCGGATTGCCCATGGTGATTTTGTTGCCCCATGATTCTGCCTGGTCAAGGCGTATCAAGGCTTTGCTGAGGCTGTGCGGGAGGAAATCCAAAAACCAACTCTTTTTGAGGCCTCCGGGCCCAGAACCTCCTCCGGCTAAAGTCTCTGGAGATGAACCCACAAACCTGCAGGCACTCCACATGGACCCCCAAAAACCATGACTACTGGTTTAGCCCAATTGAACCGGTTTTCCGAACAATTCAGATCGCCGGTGTTTGGGCAGCCGTTCGCCCCCCCTTCGAACCCTCAGAGAACGCAGCTGTCAAGCCACACAAACTCCTCCTTGATCGTCTCCCCAAACTCTCGCCGTAGTTGGTGGACCGACTTGGCCAAGAGCTCGACCACCACCTGCTCCCGCAAGATCGCCTGGCACGGCACGGAGGCGACTCCACGGGGCCGAAGGAGAACGGAAGACTTGCAGGACTGCCATGGTCGAGAGGGAAAAAATGGAGGAGAACATGGGTTTGCCCCGGTTTCTATGTACAAAGACGGGTTTCTATGTACCAAGAAGAATGGCACACTCTTCTTACGATGGAAAAACCGAGACGACTTGTGCGACAGTTCGGAAACCATGGTTTTTTCTATGGTAGAACGAAACATTCTTGTTTTTTCATCACCTTGATGGTACCGGTGGGGGGGACACACCGTGGCCTCGTGGGACACCTGTGCGAAGGAAGGAAGGTCAGCTTTGCGGAAGGCTTCAAAGGATTGAGTGTGGATCTGGTGCACTTCAACGAGGTTTCGCACCTCCTTCCAATGAGGCACCTCAGCTGGTGAAACCCAGGTTTGGCACCTTCAAACCCCCAACTCCACGGACATCAGGGGCCCATGAACCAACAATGAAATCTCGAGCGCCTAAGTTGGCTCACGGCAAAATAACTGGCAAGAGTTCTTAATCCTACACTTGTGTGATGTGTGTGTATGTGTGTGTGTGTGTCAAATTGCATGTGTCCTTCTAAATCTGTATCTTCTACGTACGGAGCACCAAGGACTGTTCTCCACATCACATCCCTCTCCGTGAATCGTCTTCCGCCACTCTCACTTGTGCCCGTTCCATGGACCGCATCCGAGCCGCGTGCTCCAGCGAACGGATTCGCTCGGCGTAGCGGATGGGCATCTCAGTCTGCAGAAAGCGCGAGATCTCCACGGGGTCCACGGTGGATGTCAAATACTGCACGCTCCTCATGGGCGTCTGGCCACCCTTCGAAGTGATGGGGGGCATGCGCAGAAGGTGCGAAGCTGCGAAGGGTGAACATGGATAGGAGGGTCGACAAGCACCAAGGGCCATTGAAAGAAAACCAAAAGGAAAACGTAGTAACACAAGAAACCAAACAGAGTTTGCAAACCTTTGGTCATTCATTGAGATCATCTACCCCAAAAAAAAAAACGTGTGGGTCATGTTTCGTTTGTGTTTTTGGTGTCCTGGGATGAGGTTCCAGTGCTGCGAAGGCCGCCACATCGGCGGGCCCACCCAGTTCCACCTGCCAAGCCACACCGCACATGAGTGGGTTGTGATTGTGGGTACTTGGCCGCCCGCTTATCAACATCCTAAAAAGGTCAGCCAACAACCACACCCTCCTGCATCACAAGTTTCCAGGGGATGGTTTCTGGGTAAGATGTTTTCAACTCCACTGCCCGTGCACGTTCCATCGTTTCAGCCGTGCAAACCTGGATTCTGATTGGAAAATGAACACGATGTGTTTTGTTCAAATTCATTGCAACAATTTGCGAACGTGGTTCGTGGCCACATGCACGTGCAGCGACACCTCCTCATTCCCATAGAAAAGTATGTTTGGAAGCGTTGCTCGTCTGGAGTTCCGCGAGCACAGTCCCACACCCAGCCCTTGATGGTGGTTGAAGCCCGGAAACCTGATCCCACACACCCAAGACGCGCGGCACTGCCCCGGCCTCGACTGCAAATCTCCTCAGAAATCGGCCCGGTGGTTGCCTCAAGGCATTGAGCACGGCCCGAGCTGCTCTTGGCACGGCCCTCATAGAACCGGGGCGTCACAGCACTCCCATGACCCGCGCTCCAAGAACCATGTCGTTGTCACATGGCCCACCAAGGACTTGACATGGAAGTTGGGGGCCAACAGCTGCAACGCAAGCCGACAAATGCGCACAAATTTTGCCTAATTTGATCACACCAGTGCGAAAAGTAAGAAAATCACTGTCAAGAAACCTCTGTAGGCATTACCGTGGGGTTCCCTCTGTTAGCACGAAAAAATGAAAAAACACCATTTGTTTTTCCAGCGAATCTTTTTCTGCGCGCCCTAGTCCATTTGTATACCGGCGGCCCCCACATGTGGCCAGGGCCACGCCACAATCGCAGCCCGGGAAGGGGGGTGCGCAGGAGGTGGGGGAGGGGACACTCAGCTAGAAGCTCGGCAAGGGGGGAAGGATGCCGTCAAGGTGTTGGGCTGCGTCCTGGTTGAGCAAGCTGGCTGCAAACGGACGAAGCATGGGTCAGGAGAGCAAAGCAGCGGCTGAAGCACGGTGGCAGAAGGCGATGGGGGCTGGGCGGGCGTGTGGCCCAAGAAAACGGAAAAAGGAAGCAGTTTCAGAGCTTCTTTGACAATGGCGCGGGATGTCTGATGGAATGCATGTTTGCGGGGCTTGGGTCACATTCGACAACCCCGTTCCGAAATGTTGACAAAGTGTCAGGTCGGACCACAAAAAGGACAAGCACGAGCTGGACTGGATTTTTTTTCCCGCAGGACAGGGGGTGAGACGAAACCCTGCTTTATACTGGCCAGGGTCCAGCTGTGCTTAGTCCACGGTGGTGGATGAGGGCAGGCGGCTGGGCGTGGGCGCACCGTCTGTGTAAGAAGTCAAGAGCTCACAGATCGGCGGGCAGGGTCCGTCGACGTTCGTGGAGGCGGACGTGGGCAGCGTCAGGAGGCTGCTGGCGAAGGATCGCATGGCTGCTGCGGCCAAGAGAGCCGCCCATCGTGAAGTCCAAGCGATGGTAGCGGCGTTGCGTAAGTTTGGGGGGTTTGTTGCTGCCCTGTGTTTTGCCAAAAGTTTGATGAAAGTGGTGGATTCTCGGTTCCAACGCCCCCCGATCTCAAGGCCCAGGACGACAAAGCGAGAGCGACCAGGTCCCAACAGCTCGGGGTTGTCCGTTTTTTTGCACGGCGAGCAAGACGCAGGGCCGCACCTTGGCATTGGCCCTGGTGCCTTCGGGGCTGGCCCGTGGAGGCGAGCGGGGACACCAGAGTCTAGCTGGGAGCCATTCCAAAAAGGAAAACCATTTGGATTATGTACACCCACCAGGCCCCTGAAAAATCCACATAATTCGGAGGCCGAGCGGTGTGTCAGTTTCCTTGTCCCCCCATCAGTGATTTGTGAGCCTTCGCTTTCTACACTGTGCCGGTGACAATGGGACAGGTTTGCCATGACTGGCTGGCAATCCGGAAGCCGAAGAAGAACATCACAAATGTTTGGATCCGGAAGCGTCCGGGGCGAGGCCCGCTCAAAGAAAGTGCGCACCCCCCAAAAAAAAGGCCACCAGGAATCACAAAAGCATTGTGGCCTTTTTCTGCACGAGTTTTGAAGCTAAGACCATAGTCCACACAGGAAAGCCGGAGTGGAGCTGGCTATGGGCCAGGTAGGCGGCCGGGTGCTGTGGAAGCGGCCGGGTGTTGGGCCAGGAGCACCCAAGGCAGGGAGGCCCTCTTCCCTGCGATCGCGCCTGCAGCCGGCATGGTCAGCAGGGAAGCTGCACATTTGTTTGGAATGAAAATTTCGCACCACAACCCGCAAGTTCCGCACAAAAAAACAAACCAAATCGAAGCACAAAAAGGAGCACCGGGAAAACACAAATTTCGCATCATAAAAAACACAACTCGTGGAGTTTGTCAGGGACCTCGCAACAATCAAAAACATGTGTCACCAGAAACCACAAGCCGGAACACAAAAAGCGCAAACACGAAAACGTGCACTAGCAACAGGCCAATTGAAAGCCTTCGTTTTACACTGGCAATGAAAACGGGCCCCAAGCGCGTTTTCTTCTGATTGGGCTGCCCCCACAAAAGGCAGGACAGTTCCACAGGCGCACCTTGTGAGAGCACACCGCCGGGCCCTCCTCAAACAGAAGCACTCATGGCATCGGCCAATACCAACAGGAAGGATGGCGCAGCACGTCCTAACAACGAGCCAGCCCTTCGCACAAACCCGGGCAGCGGCACGGGCAGCGGCAAGGACCGCGGCAAAGGCAGCGTCATGCCTCGGGCAACGCAGACATGGCCGGGCAAATTGTTTTCGCGAAATTAATACTGTTAGTGATGGGTAGTGCCAGCACCTTAGGCCCAAGGCCGCCAAAAGGCTGGCGCTGTGCCAGCAATGTCCAACGCTCGTCGCTGGGCGCAGCTATTGCTCTTGGTTGGCTGAATGCATGGGATGAAAATCGAGCCTTCTGCTGATCATTGCGCCAGGATAAAACTCAACAAACCACTAGTCAGGGCCAAGGAACATATTTTTATCTCAAACACGGCCTCCATGTGAAAGTTTGCCACACAGACACGCCACCAAGTTCCAACAACGTTGCTGCAACCAAAACAGGGCATTGTGAAACCAATTGAGTTCGATGCGTAGGGCTTTTGTCCGGCCAACCACGGTGCCAAGGAGCATCACGGCCACAACTTCTGGCTCAAGGCCACCACGGGTCCAAATGGAAACCCACACTGCCGCAATGATTTTGCTTCGCGTTGCAGCTGTTCGGGGCAGAAGGCGCAGCAACACCTTAAGCCACACGTTCCCGGGGCTGGACCAAAGGTTTTGGGCATCCTTCCAACCCCATTTCTTTGCAACGACATCACGAGCTCATCCGATGCGTTCGCCCGGGATTTTCGGCGAAAAGGTTGCAGAGCAGGCCGGCGCCCCTCGGCTGGGACCATCAAGAGCAGCTGAGCGCCGGTTCCGACGCCGGCGGCGGCGAGAAGGAGCAGGAGAAAGCAAACACTGTTTGAAGCTGCAGTTGAATCATGAATCAGCGGTGGAGGACAACTTGAGGCCAGAGGGGGTGAACGAAAGCTAGCCGGGCTTCCGGTGGTCTGCTGCTGGTGCTGCTGCTGCCGGTGCTGCTGCTGCCGCTGCTGCGCTGGGCGCTGCTGCGCTGGGTGCTCTGCAGGCGCCGGGTCGTCTGCTGCTGCTGCTGCTGCTGCTGGCGCTGGGTGGTCTGCTGCGGCTGCTGCTGCCGCGGCGTTGGGTATGCTGCTGCTGCTGCTGCTGCTGCCGCCGCTGGGTGGTCTGCTGCTGCTGCTTGCTGGTGCTGCTGCTGCTGCTGCCGCTGCTGCGCTGGGCGCTGCAGATGCTTGGTGTGCTGCAGCTGCTTGGTGGTCCCGCTCACCGCGCGCAGGGGGGAGTCGAACCGCGGGGGGGGGGGTCCATAAGATTGATTTAATCAATTATTTGAGGTTTCTGAGGTGCGTCCACCCCGTCACTTAACTTGCTAAAGCAAGAGCAACTCCAGCTAGCTAAGGCTAGCTTTCGTGAATACCTGTCAAGAAACACTGGATCAACTGAGCGTGTTGGACAAGTGTAAGTTAGAAACCAGGTGGACACCTGAGGTATCGGTTGCCCCACAAGCGTTGGAAGTACTGTCCAAGCAACCGAGAGAATGACACAAGCATAGAGGTGCTGAGAAAACACGAGGGGCAACTGTGTGAAACTCTGCCGCTCTTCGAAGGCGAAGGTGTGAACCCACAGGGCCGGAGGTTGAACTTGATTCCTTTCACTTTGGTCTCCGCTTTCATTGGCTTGCAAAGACTACAAAGTGATGCCATTGACACAGCAAGAGCGAGCATGTCTGACAGATTCGAAGATGCAAACCAAACAACCATTTTCATGTGTGTTGTCATTTCAACTTGCATTGCACTTTGTGCTTGTTGTTCCTTCACTTTTCAAGACCGGTCCAGCTGATATTTTTTCACTAAGCCTGATTCCACCGAACCTTCCATTCGGACCTGGGCCACCGGCAGTTGGAAGCGCATTCAGGGAAACACGTGCCCCATCCCAAAGAATCACCAAAGAAGCCTCTTGCAACCCGCCCCCGTCGCTCTCACCAACAAAAACTACAAATGGCCGTCACGGAGGAGAAGAAGGCAGCGCTCACGTGTTGGCCGAGTCGAGGAGATGTCGCCAACCCAGCCGACCCGCTGCACGAGGCGCGGAGGAGGGCCCAAGTGGACCATGGCCCAATGCCTGGGCCAAGCACATGGATCGAAGACCCGGCATGGCCAGTGAACAGAAAATTTGGCGAACAAAAGTCAAAGCAGTGCCGCTTTGCGCAAACCAAAAGCTGGAGATCTGAAGTGAGATGGAATGCGTGATGAAATGCAATGCGGTGACGCCTTGTGTTGGCGGGGCATGCCGAAAATTAAGGTGGTGGGGTGGCGTGTGGGGCACTTAAGTGACCTCGTTCGCAAACATTCCTTTCGTCGTGTTAGTTTGCAAGATCTGCATCCGAGGTGACACAAAACATAACACGACGTTCGCAAGACACTTATCTGGACGGTGAAAAACATCAAACAAAAGCCAGTCACAAACATCTGGCAACATCCAACCGAGCGGTGCTACCATCTTGTGAAACAATACACCAGGAAAAACTGTGTCACTGCATGGCACGTGGGATATTTTTTCCGGCACTATGTGGATCACATGATCCGAATCCACCCTTTCGGCTTGGCTGCATGTCAATGACAAAGGTTTGATCAGAAGACCTTCGCAAATTGAGTTTCATACGAACAGGCCGACAGTCTGAATCGAACTTTTTGCCCTCTTTTGACGGCGTGTTCGGTTGTTTTCCAAGCGAACCGCTGCAATTGAACATGAAATCTTTCAGTTTGAATCATAATGAAGAGGATCCTAACACGGCAGAAACCCAGCTACACCACCCACAAGCACAAGAAAATCCGAGTTCTAAGGGAATATTGACAGCCCGTGGTATGGCGGAGAACAACGACTGTCTTTCATCTGTGAAGAGGCACACATGA